GTCAAGCGGGTGGAGATGTTCTTGCAGATTGCAAGGTGAGATGGGTGCCTCTGGAGCCCTAGTCCAGCCAACTTCAGGTATTGTGTCACATCTGACTCCTTGTGACCCCCCCCGGGTTTTCTTGGCAAAGATCCTGGAGAGGTTTGCCATTTCCCACTCCCGTTCATTTTACAGATTAAAAACTGTGGCAAGCAGGGTTAAGTGACTTGCCCATGGTCACCCAGTTAGTAAGGGCCTGAGGTCAGATTTGAACTCAGAAAGATGAGTCTTCCTGACACCAGGCCTGATGTTTTATCCACTGTGGCACTACCTAGCTGCCTTCCACGAAGGTGGACCTTTCTGAACCCACTACAAAATGGACTTTCCTTCTCCCAGTCATCAATCTTCCTCCAAAGAGCCAGTAGCACACTTCTCCCTTATACCGTGACTGGCTTCTTCCACAACGGGCGCTGGGATAGGCCCCTGGAGACTGAGTACCAATTACCTATAACTGGGGTCACATAACCTTGCCACACCACCTGGAGGTCCAACAGCAAGGGCACTGTCCTCCTGGGACAGGCCCCAGGGCCCTCCGTTCCCTGGGATCTGCACAAGCAGCAGGGTAAGGGAGGCCACGGAGCCCATAACACCGTCACTTCACCACTGCAGTGAAGTCGGTGTGAGTGGCCATGCTCAGGCCTGCAAGAAAAGCAAAGAAATCCAAAGCAGTCCGTTGGGAAGCCAATGGGCAAAACGTGACCTCCCCAGACCCAGGTTCACCGAGCTGACGGGGGAGAAGAGGGAGACGAGACCCAGTGAGGGGAAGAAGCCTGAGCCGCGCCACCCAAGAGCAGCAGAGTCAGAATTCCAACACAGGCCCGGAAGGCCAAACCCGGCTCTCCCCAGCCCCACGTGGATTCTCCCAGCTGATTCTTCAGGAAATCCTCCACGCTATTTATCATGGTCACAAAGTTTTACACGTGTTCCTTGGGACCTGTTTTATGACATCGTGAAAAAAGTCAGGCTTCTACCGTGAATAAACAAAACCGGCCTGCCCTGAGCCGTTGAGGTCTGTCTGGGGACTAAAAGACATCTGAGGGACAACCTCCCCTCTCGTTCCCATCGGCACCTTCCCAGGCACCTGAGCCGCTCACCTCTCCCAGGCCTGCTCCGTCACGACTGGGCCAAAACCAAAGCATCCTCGCTCCCAAGCCCTCAGCTGTCACCTGCTCAGCTGCCCGCCTTCCCATCAGTAAGCCCTGACTAAGCACCCACTGCGCGCTGGGCCCTGTGCTAGCAGTGAGGATGCAAAGAAAGGCAAAAATCAGCCCCTGCACTCAAGGAACTACCAGTCCGTCGGGGGAGGCCACATGCAAACAACCGTCCAAAGAGGCGCTAAGAGCAACTGCAGATAGGATGAGCAAGAGAAGGCACCACGGGGAAAGCGAGGTGGCACAGTGAATACAGCACTGGGCCTGGAGTCGCAAGGTCCTGAGTTCAAACCCAGCCTCAGACACTTACAGCTGTGTGACCCTGGATAAGTCACTTGACCCTGTTTGCCTCAGTTTCCTCATCTGCAAAATGAGCTGGAGAAGGAAATGGCAAACTGCTCCAGTATCTTTGCCAAGAAAACCCCAAATGGGGTCATGAAGAGTCAGACACAACTGAAATGACCAAAGAAGGCACTGGCATTAAGAGGGATCAGGAAAGGTTTCCCGGAGAAGCTCAGACTTCAGCTGACACTCAAAGGAAGGCAGGGAAGGCGGAATGGCAGAGATGGAGGGAAAGAGCTCCAGGTAGGGAGCAGAGCCTGTGAAAATACACAGAGCAGGGAGCTTCAGGCCCGGCAAAAAAGCCAATGTTCCTGGATCACTGAGGCGGGGAGGATAGGGCTAAGAAGACTGGAAAGGTAGAGAGGGGTAAGGTTATGATGGACTTCATTTGATCCTGGAGGCAACAGGGAGCCACTGGAGATGAATGACTACAGAATGCGGGGGGGGGGGGGATAGAACATAGTAAGATCTGAATCTTAGGTAGATCAATTTAACAGCTGAGGATGAATTAGGGTGAGGAAAATATTTGAGACAGAGAGACCCACCAGGTGTGAGATGGTGAGGGTCTTCACCAGGATGATGGCAGTGTCAGAAGAGACAAAGGGGTATATTTGAAAGATACTGCAGAAGAGAAGTTGACCAGAGGTGCTGCAGGAGGTGAAATCAACAGACCTTGGTACCATATTGGATCTGGCAGGTGAGAGTGAAGAGTCTAGGATGACCCTGAGGTTTCAAGCCTGGGTGACGAGGAGGATGAGGGTCCCCTCAATAGTAATAGGCAAGTTAGGAAAGGGGAAGGGAGGAAAAAAGAAGGAATTCCGTTTTAGACATGTTGGATCTAAGATGTCTCTAGAACATCCCATTCATGACATCTAAAAGGCAACTGGAGATGTGAGACTGGAGATCAGAAAAGAGATTAGGGCTGAACCACAAGATCTGAGAATCATTCCTAAAGAGACAATAACTGAATCTGTGGGTGCTGATGAGATCACCAGGCAAGACAGTCTAGAGGGAGAAGAGGTCCCCGAGACAGAGCCTTGGGGGGAGGGAGCACCACAGCATGACCTAGATGAGGATTCAGCGAAGGAGACTGGGAAGGAGCCCATAGAGTTGGAGGAGGAGAACCTGGAGAAAGCGGTGTCCCTAAACCCTAAAGAGAAGAGAGCATCCTGGAGAAGAAGGTGATTGAGGACTGAGAAAAGGGCATTCGATTAGGCAATAAAGAGATCATTCCTAACTTTGGAGACGGAAGTTTCAGCTGAATGCTCAAGTCAGAGGGCAGACTGTAAATCATGGTGTCAAACTCAAGTTAAAGAAGGGACCACTGAACCACAGCAAAGGATCCTTCCTGGCCACATGTGGACTTAGAAAACCACACGTTAATGCTATCTGTGTTCTACTGTATTTTCATTAGTTTTTATCACAGGTGTATCGTATTTATTTACTTATTGTAGTATTTGTCATTAAACATCTCCCAATTACCTTTCAATCTCGTTCCTGACCTTGGGAGTGTGGCTCCGGAGCAGACCGGAAGCCTCCATGATTGACACCTTTGCTGCAGAGGTCAAAGGAGGAAGAGGAAAGAAAGCCCCTTCTCGAGGTGAGTCACAAAGGGAGGAGAGATATGGGACGACACCTAGCAAGGCCGGGTGGAGTAAGAGAAGATCTTTTGAGGAAAGAAACAAACATTTATGAAATGCCTACCAGACCCTGTGCCAAGTCCTTGACAAACATCTTATTTACTTCTCACAATAAGCCTGAGAGGTAGGTGCTAACATGATCTCCATTTCAGAGTTGAGGGAAACTGAGGCAGAGGCTAAGTGACTTGCCCAGGGTCACAAAGCTAGTGGGAAGTCTGAAGCTGGATTTGAACTCGGCTCTTCCTGACTCCAGGTCCAGTGCTCTATCTACTGTGCCACCCAGCTGCCTCTTTTGGGAACAGGGGGGCCATGGGCATGTTTGTGAGTAGCCAGGAAGCAGGCAGTAAACAGAAGTGGAGACAGAGGTGGCAAGCTACTCCAGAAGGCGGGAGGGAATGGGACCACCGGTACGCATAGAAGGGTATGTATGTGGCATGTGACACACGAAAGGAAGAGACAGTGGTGGGAAGAACCCAAGTGACAGGAGAGGAGGAAGAGGGAGCTTGATTTTTCAGAAGTGGCAAACGCAGATGAGTTAATAACAGTTTGCTGAAAGGGAGGCAGCCAGTTTTCCAGTCACCAGCAATGAACGGTTTTCTTTCTAATACGATTGGGCCTTGACACCTAGCACACATTCCCATCCACAGAGCCCCTGCCCTGAGTCCAGTCAGAGAGCTAAGCCATGAGCAAACCTCCCTGTCAGTATAAGGCCACCAGCCTAAATGACTTGCTATGAAAGGAGGCTCACTGGACCAAGGGCTGACCTCGGAATCAGAAGCTGGGTATACAGTCTGTCTAGAACGCTTGTTTGCGGCAGGGGGAGATGCTTTCTAAACCTTAAAGCGCTATACAGAGGTGAGTCAGGCTTACTGTATGGCCTTTGTGAAAGAGAGGAGGGAGAGGGAGAGAGAGAGAGAGACAGAGACAGAGAATTGCAGCTGAAGCATGGGGCAGCTGCATCCTCCAATCCAAGAGCAGGGATTCCAGGAACTCTCACTTGCCCACTAACAAAACAAGCCCCTGTGAGACAGCACAGTTATCTCCGCTTTTGAAGGACATGCTCTCTGAGGACAGAGATCATTGCTACTGTTTCTTACTATCTCTCGGCATTTTCCCAGGGCACACACCAGGCTACTTTGCACATATGTCTTCAAATATTTGCTGAATAATCAACCAAACACATTATAGGGAAATGAACACAGGAACGACTTGCCAGTTTTGGCCAAGAGCCTGTGTCTGCACAGTGGCTACCTGGTCCCAGCACGCTTCCATGGCTCAAAGTAGTTACAAAGCTTCCCTGCCCTCAAGGCAGTCTTGTGGGACACCCACCCAGGGATAAGTGAACAAAGGGGAACAGATCCAAGAGGTGGGCAGAAGGAGGCAGCCACATACAAGCCATGACGGACTTGCCCAGACGGCTCGAAGATGGCCCCAAGGCAAGGCCAAGGGAGCCTTCTGTGCTCCCCTAAAGACTCCCTATGCCCCTCCGTACAGCAGCGGGGCCGGCACCTCCCTCCCGTCCTGCCCTGACCTGCCCCACCTTATACTTCCATGAAAAGAATGAAGCCCTGCTCCTGTCCTCCTCTCTCATCTCAAGTCACTGGCCTTCCCCACAATCTCCTTCAAGGCCCTCTCACATAAAGAGGCCAACCTTCCACTTGCCAAAACAAACCTCTCACCGCCATCGTGATCCAGCTCATCCCACATCTTTCCAGAAGATCATCCCCTCTAGAACCCTCTTCTCTCCCTCCCCCTCCTTCCCTTCCTGTCCCCTCTCTGCCCCCACCGCCGCCCCCCGTCAGCTTCCCTGGAGCATCTTTCTGCTCACTCTCATCCTCCATCGCTTTCTTCCCTCCATGTACAGAGCGCCCCCACTTCCTCTCCCCTCCTTCTCTTCTAAACGCTCCGTCATCTGACTTCCATCCTCATCACGCAACTGAAACTGCTCTCTTAAGTGACTGATGCGCTCTTCACCACCAAATGTCATGGCTCCTTCTCAGCTTTTCAGCAGGTGCCGCCGTGAAGCGCCTGCTCCTCTTGGTCCCGAATTCTCTTCTCTCTTGGTTCTCCCACTACTCTGGCTCCTTTGCTGGCGCATCAGCTCCAACGTCAGTGCCCCACGGTCGGTCCTCTCTCACTCAGTGATCTCATCAGCTCCCAGGGCTTCAATGAGCATCTCACAGATGGCTACAACTCATCCTAGGCTCTTTCCTGACATCCACCCCCATAACATCAAATAGCTATTGGAAAGTTTGAACTCAGCATCACGTAGATGGCCCAAACAGAACGTATTGTCTTCCCGTCCCCAAGTCGCCACCCCCCCAGAGCCCTCATCTCTTCCTAATTTTCCTATTACAGTTGAAAGCACCACTATCCTCCCGTTTGCCCACGCTCGACTTCATCCTCCTCTCCTACCCATCCCTTACATGCCATCAGCCGCCATTTTGTTTCTTTCTCCATGACAGTTTTCTCTCCCATGTGTCCCCCTTCCTCCTCTCAGCCTTTACCCTAGCTTAGGCCCTTCTCCCTTACAACTTGGACCAGCAATTCTCAGGATATGATCCAAGAACCAGTGGCTTTGGGGGGGGTGGGGGGGTCCTGCTACCCTTTCTGGGCATCTGCAAGGTCAAAACTATTTATATAATAATGTTAAAACATTTTAACTTTGAATATGGTAAGTACTGAACAAAAGGAGAATCCTCTGTATATTTTAGGAGTCCCAAGGAGCCCTGAGACCAACATGTTTAAGAACTGTTGGCCTGAACTATCTGCTGTAGCCTGCAGCTTGCTGTCTCCTCCCTCTGGCTGCCAAAGTCATCTTCCTCCTCAAGGGCAGGATTGACTCCGTCACCTCTTCTTCTCCTCCCCCAGAGACACACATACAGTCAATCAACTCCTTATCGCCTGCTCTGCCACTTAAGGTCCTCTAGACCCTGGCCCCAGCATAGCTTTCTTTCCAGCCTTATGCATCATCCCACTCCAAGCATGCCACTGTTCTCGGCCCACCTCTGCACCTTTGCACTGGCCATGCCCCAGGCCTGGAAGGCACTCCTTCCTCCCTCAGTCACTCCCCAGGCTAGAGGCTCCTCCCCCAAGCCGCCTCCAAGTTCCTTTATACACATCAAGTACATTTTGTGTACGCCATTGTTTCCCTGGGTGGAAAGTGACCTCCTGACAGCCAGGGATGGCTTGTTTCACACCCCCAGGCCTAGCAGAGTGGGAGGCCATTAGGAAATGTTTGTGGATGGCCTTCAAGATAGAAAGGGAGGCTGGCGGGTCCCAGACTCCAATTGAATGATGGCAGGTAAGGACCTTCATGCTGCCATGGAACTCATGACTCTACAGGAAGGATGGCTTGTGACCTGTGCCCGCGGCACAAGAGCCCGCCACACAAGAGCCCACTCAAATGAGGTCACAGATCTAAACCTCGGAAAAGCGAGGCCCATGTGGTGCTTTGTGAGGCCTGTGGTGGGACCAGGGAAGCTGCACAGGAAAGGTGGCGTGTGGGCTGGGAACCTTTCCAGGATAGCCAGGACGGAGCTCTGGCAGAGCGGGCAAGGGCATGCATTTCCAGAGGTGGCAGAGTGGTCTGAGTATGAGAGACACAGGATAGGGCTAGAAAGGAGAGCAGGGCCACATAAACACAGCGCTCCATCAGGCAGGCCCTGGCCTTGGGGTCCAGGAGTATCCTGACCAGGCAGGTCTCCCCTCAAGCCAACACTTCTTGAACCTAAGAGGCCGAGGAAGCAGACTCCCTGCTCTGACCACTCCCCAGTCCCAGCCTGGAGGAGGGGGGGAGGGGGCTCATTTTCTACCACCTACAGGACACGGAGCCCTTATTCCCCTCACCTGCACTGAAGAGAGGAGGCATCACACCAGCATGGGCCTTGGCATCCAGTAGCAGGCCTCTGGAGCTCCATACCCCACACTCGCCCAGTCAAACACTGCTGTGGCTCTCCAAAGAAGCCACCGCCTGAAAGGAGCCATCAGTGCTCAGCGTCTGGGGAATTAACTTGTTAAGCCCTTTGGGCAGCTCTAGAAGGCTGACCCACCCACATTTGAGTCTCTGGCTCCCAGAGTGCCTGGCCTCCCTGCCAAGGGAGCGCTCTCTAGAGAGCCCTCCTCCTCATGCTTCTGGCCATCCTTGCCTGCACCCCACTTCCCTTGGAGCAAACAGCTGAGGATCCCCTCAGCCTTCAATATGAAGTGGGGGGCAACGCTGGTAACCCCAGGCTCCCTCTGACCAACCAGGCCTGGATGGTCTCTTGAGGAACGTGAGGGTATCGAGGAAATCATGGTATCGGGGGACCCAGGCCTTGGACAGGACGGGAGGGACCTCCTTACCCACCTCAGTCAGTGAGAAAGAATTCTCCACTCAGCTCACCCCCCAGGGGCACAGCCGGGGGCCATCTCCTCCATCTTGGGGCCTCCACTGCCTCAGATAATGATCCCTTTACATCTATGATCTCAGGTTCACAGCTGCCCTACCCCACCTGTACAGACAGAAGCAGAGGAGCCCAGGAGCTCGGCATCCCTCCAAGGACCTCTGGGGCTGGATCTACCAAAATGCAAAGTCCACGAACATAGCACAGAGCCCGAAGCACGACACGGCCTACATGAGCTGAGCCTGGAAGGATCCTCTCCCTTCTGGTTTAGGAAGGAAAGCAGCAAGCCAGGGCACATAGGAAGGGGTGAAGAGAGCGAGGCGGGGCCTGGAGCCAACACCCCGAGACAGGCAGAAAACTGACCAGCAAGCCAAGGGAAGACAGAGGGCTCAGGCCCCAGGCTGTCCCCAACGTGGGATGAAAAGAGTTAGGGTTCCCCTGGGCAGCCTCGAGGCACAGAATGAGGAGGAAAGGAGGGCAGCAGGCCTGCTCTGGCCCAAGCTCAGCCTCGCCCAGTCTGGGAGCCAGGATGGGAAAAGAAAGGTCTCTTTGCCTGTACTCTCATCTAACTGAAACATAGCATTTCCTTCCATTAAAAAACCCAGGATTCTGAGAAGGGTCCACAGGTCCCCCCCAGACTGAGATCCCCTGCTCTGACCACCCCCCCATCCCCTGAGGGCTTCGTGCATTCTCCACGTGAGGGAGGGATGAGGAGGGGCCACAGGCCCTTCCTCAGCTGGGGTTCAATGACTGGGATTCAGAAATAGTAGGGGGTCGAAGGAGGGGGTGAGCCTTGAAAACTGTTCTGCTGGCAGTCGAAAGCCACAGCACCCTTTGAAGTCAGGGAATCAGAGAACCTCAGGTTGGAGGGGCCTCAGAGATCACCTAGCCTCACGGCCCCTCTTCATGCACAGAAGGCATCCCCACCATAACTCCTTCGACGAGGGGATTTCCAGGCTCTGCTTGAACAGCTTCCCCAAAGAGGGGGAAGCCCACGCTCCTAAGGCTGCTGTCCAACTCTGAGCTCTGGGTCAGAAAGTCTGCCTTGGGGATGTCCTTCCACCAAGCCCAAAGTGACCCTGGAGCAGCTGCTTCTGACCAGGGCTGCAGGGAGGGACAGAACAGCTCCCTCCCTCTTCCACGCCCTTGGGACCTGTGAAGTCGCTCCCTGGCCTCTCTTCACACCCCTCATACCTCGCCAATACCCCAGGGCAGACACTCCAGGCTCCTTAGCACCTTCTCTCCAACCCATGTCATCACCAGCCTCACTCCTTCACAGGAAGGTAAAGGAACCGAGTAAGTGCTCTGTCCTGAGAATTCAGGCCAGCTCCAAGGCCTGGCCCAGCAGCCTCTCCAAGGCCCGGAAGGGCCTGGGTGCTGGGAGGTCTGAGACCCTGGCACAAGGTTCTTCCCCAATGGAACGGAATCCCCCTGAGGGCAGGGAGGAGACTTATTTCTGTCCCACTATATGCTAGCAGACAATTTGAAGCAGCGCCCACTTCAAAGCTCACAACTCTGTTGTCCCTCTCCCGCAGGGTTGGGGCAGATTTAAACCCAGAGGAGGTAAACCAAGGGCCTGAGGGCCTCAGCCTGAGAAGAAGCCTGTGAGCTTTAGGTTAAAGCTCTCATTGTTCCCAGGAGGTCCCACAAACCTGCTCATTTTAGCATTTTTTAGCTAAAGGTAGCTAATTGTAGCAAACTACAGCAAAGGTTGCCGGAAGTCACAAAGAGAACAGGGCCCCTGCAGCCCCAGCAGCCCACCTCCGTGTGGCCCTGGCCTGAGATCAGATACAGTCCTGTGGGCATTTCCTAGAGAGGCCAGGAGCTCTCGGAAATAGACAGCATAGCAAGAACAGCAAGGCCGTACATGGCACGTACAAAGAGCGTCACTGCCATTTGGCTCTGCAGCAACCCTAGGAAGTAGGTTCTATCACTGTCCCCATTTTACAGACGAGAAAACGGAGGCAGACAGCAATCCAGTGGCTCCGTCAAGGCCACACAGCCATTGAGTATCTGAGGTAAACATCCAATTCTCTATCGATCTACCCTGGACCTGGAGTCAAGAAGGCCCAGGGTCAAACTCGGCTCTTCTGACCCTGGACAAGTCACGAGTTACACCGTCTGCCTCACTTTCCGCCACTGTAAAATAGGGATAATTGGAGCACTTAATGTCCAGGATCCTGTGGGGATCAAATAGGCGCGCTCTCAAGGTGCGTTGTTACCATTACAGGAGGGCCGCTGGGTGGTACAGTGGACAGAGCGTCGGGCCTGGAGTCAGAAGGATCTGAGTGCAAATCCAGCCTCAGATGCTTACTATCTGTGTGACCCTGGGCCAGTCCCTTCACCCTGTCTGCCTTAGTTTCCTCCTCTGTAAAATGATCTGGAGGAGATGGCCAACCACTTCAAGGTGCTGCCAGAAACCCCAAAGGGGGGGCATGGAAAGACCAGAGTGCCAGGTCTCACGAGAAGAGGAAAGCCCATGTTTAGGTGAGTGACCCTAAACGTCCTTCTAACCGATGAGCTCGGCCTGAGATGTGGGACTGAGTCGGTCCGCGTCCACCTTCCAAGACAGCCAGCCCTCGCTGACCGCACCATCCCGGGACTGAGCACTGAGAAG